GCTTGGTGACTTACTTTGTTCTGTTACTACTTGGAACCACTTAAATCCTATTTTCTGTATTTAATAAAATCACTTTTTATTTAGTAATTTACTCAGAGTATGTATTAATACCTGGGGGAGCAAACAACTGTGCATATCTCTCTATCAGTGTTATAGAGGGCGAACAATTTATGAGTTTGCCCTGCATAAGCTTTATACAGGGTAAAACGGATTTATCTGGGTTTAGACCCCATTGGGAGTTGGGCATCTGAGTGCTAGAGACAAGCACACTTCTGGGAGCTGTTTTCAGGTAAACTTGCAGCTTTGGGACAAGTGATTCAGATCCTGGGTCTGTGTCTGGAGCCAGACGGGACTGTCTGGCTCAGCAAGACAGGGTGCTGGAGTCCTGAGCTGGCAGGGAAAACAGATGCAGGGGTAGTCTTTGCACATCGGGTGGCAGCTCCCAAGGGGGTTTCTGTGATCCAACCCGTCACAGGGTCCCCCTATCCCCTGCCACCAACCCCATTCCTGGGGTGGTGGCCTACTCACCCGAGGCCAGACAGCTTGTGCCTTGCCTGTGGCTTGTTGCTCTGCCCAACCAGAGAGTCAGAGCCCCAGACTGTGTTTTGCTGTCTGCCCAAGCCAGAAGGCTTTGGGCTAAAGACTACTTGTTGCTCTGGCCCACCCGGGCGTGGGGGGACGACCACAGAACCACTACAGCAACCCCAGAGTGAGAGGGAGGAGGACCTAGACACAAGAACCAGGAGCAAATGCTGTCACGAAAGCCCTGAGTAGACAAGATGTCAAAGAGGAGAGGGTGAACAACAGTGCCAAACACAGCAGCAAGGTGGGAAGGGTGAAAGTAGAACCGGAAATCCAGCCAGGGACAGACTGTGCACTGGAACGAAAGTTTTGGAGCCACGTCTACACTAGAATTTACAGTTGTGTTAATGGTTCTGGCTAAAATGTAAGTGTAGATACACTCTGAGCAAATGGGAGGCAGTGGGTGGGAAGGTGGGTAATTTAAGATTTAACATTGTTTTTCATGTCTAGTGTGATCTGGTGAGAATGATTTGATGGAGTGAAGGGGGGCAGGAGAAAGGAAAAGGGTCACCGGAGCAGGGGAGAAACCTTACTGCCAGGCACAGAGAGGAAAGAGACTGATCTTGTCAATCTCACTCAGAGTGCTGGCAAGATTCTGTGGAGGGGGGAGTCCTTGAGGGACGCAACCTCAGTTGCAGCATTTGCTATGCAACCAGCATTTCAGATGGCCCAGGCAGGGGTCTCTGAAGAAGAGCACGACACATTGCAAGTTAAATAACCATCTCTCCCTCCCTCCATCTCTGCTGCATCTCTTACCTAGGAGTCTGGATGTGAATGAAACAAACTTGGTTCTCCGATTTGGGGCCAGCGAGATCATCCAGCGCTTCATCTCACTTCTGTGACCAGAGACAAACAGAACACAGCTATGAGGGCGCAATCATCTGGTTGCAGCACACTGTTACTCTCCCAACCAGCTTTGATTCCCAGGCACACGTTCCCAGCTTTCCCCATTTGCCAGCTCCAACCTTTTCCCTTTCTCTGCTAGAAACAGAGATCCCCTCTCTGGGCAACTGGGACACAGTGCGAGTGTCTCATCGGTAGCTGGACAAGCAGCCATTTGAAGGTCAGCCTGGTCACTATTAATAAATTGGGGGAGATCTGAATGATTCCCCTCTCTGTCCCTGCATTTTACTTGACTCTGTTTCTCCTAGGACATGGGTGGGCAAACTTTTTGGCCCGAGAGCCACATCGGGGTTGCGAAACTGTATGGAGGGCAGGGTAGGGAAGGCTGTATCTCCCCAAACAGCCTGGCCCCGCCCCCCTATCTGCCCCCTCCCACTTCCCCGCCCCCTGACTGCCCCCCCCAGAGCCTCCAACCCATCCAATCCCCTCTGCTCCTTGTCCCCTGACCACCCCCTCCCGGGACTCCGTCCCCTATCCAACCCTCCCTGCTCCCTGTCCCCTGACTGCCCCGACCCCTATCCACACCCCCGCCCCCTGACAGCCCCCCCGGGACTCCCACGCCTATCCAACCCCATCCCCTTGCTCCCTGTCCCCTGACTGCCCTGACCCCTATCCACACCCCTGCCCCCTGACAGGCCCCCTGGGACTCCCACGCCTATCCAACCCCACCCTCCGCTCCCTGACTACCCCGCCCCCTGACAAGCCCCCCGGGACTCCCATGCCTATCCAACCTCCCCGTCCCCCAGAACTTCCTGCCCCCTAACTGGCCCTCGGGACCCCACCCCTATCCAACCGCTCCCTGTCCCCTGACTGCCCCCCCAGGACTCCCTGCCCCTTATCCAACGCCCCTCCCCCCGCCCCCTTACCATGCCGCTCAGAGCGGCAGAACTTGCTTATTGGAAAGCCTGGGAGGTGGGCAGGTGCGAGCTGCGCAGCCTGGCAGGAGCGGCGGCGTGGCTGCCGGGGAGGGGCCAGGGGCTAGCCTCCCTGGCCGGGAGCTCCGGGGCCTGGCAGGACGGTCCTGCGGGCCGGATGTGGCCCATGGGCCGTAGTTTGCCCACCTCTGTCCTAGGATAATGTAGACTCTATATGGGTCCCTACACAGATGACTTGTTGAAGTAGCAATAGATATGGGCAACTGCATGGACGGTAACCTAATTGGCAAGCTAGCTCTAGTACAGTTCTCCCAGGTTGCTGACCTGGGGTCACAGCAGGTGTAACATATTCAGCCCTCTACTTTCCTTTCCAGCCATTTCTTCTCGCCCTACAGGGTGTCCTCCTGGAGCTCTAAGGATAGGCTTTCCATCATGCCTTGCTTGATCTGCTGTTGAGAGAGTGAAGGTGCACACCCTTTCCCCATGGGCTCAGATTGCATGAGGAACCTTTGGCTTCCCATTCAGACCTTCCCAAAGTCACTGGGCAGGTTTATTCCCTCTTCTCTTCCTCACTTCCAGCAGGTGAGCAGAAAGGATCACCTCTGGGATTTCTCTCCTTCCTGCCAGTTGTCAGAGCCCTTCCTTCCCTGGCATGCTCTTTCCTGCCTCCCTCCATTCTCACTCTGCATTGTGTGGTTCCCTCTCCAACTCTGCTCCTTCTCTGCACCTCCCTTGAGTCCTTCCCTTTATCTCTTTCTCGGCTCTGTTACTCTGACTCCTCTGATCCTCTTAGAATAGTTTCCCTGCCCCTTTTCTGTGGCTGCTTCTCCTGCTGCCTGCGCGCGCGCGCACACACACCCTCTCCGTGTGCAAGCAGCAACCTGAAATTAATGTGCTATCCAATCTCTGCATGTCAGGTCTTAGCCATGTCTGTCAAGCATCACTCATCTGTGTGACACTCTGGCATTTTTCCTGAGTCGTCATCTCCCACACACTGGTTAGAATGTCACACACAAGCTGAACTGGTGACTTTCTGGGATAATCCATGCTGCAGGGGCAGGCACATCAAGTCACGCTGCAGGGGCCTTGTGTGTGGGAGGCCTCCAGCTATCACCTCTCTATCTACCGTGCAATCCAGCCATCTCAGACTGGCTTTCATGGCTCTTCCAGCTGCCTGCATCAGCCATTCCCTCCCCTGATTAGTGCCCTCCTCACCCTCCCCATCAGTGACTGCCCATCCCCTTCCTCCCCTCACAAACTGCTGGGACCTGCCTTCATTCTGCATCTCTTCCACTGCTGAGTTCTTCCCTCACACCTGACTTACCTCTCAATCCCAACTCCAGCCAAGGAGTGCCCTGTCCCATTGAGCCACAGACAGCCAGCTGGAGGAGATGGTGGCAAATTCCACACAAACAGGTCGAGTTCCACTTAACTCACCCAGGATACTTGCCACTGGAAGAGCTACATGGAATGTGGCAGCTCTGCTTGGAGACTAACTACCGGGTAGTTATATTTTGGATCTTCAAAGTTCTGTACTGAGCTCAAAATGGTATGGTTTAACTTTGTCTTGCATAAAAGCTACAGATACTGGGAGAGGCGAGAAATTTAAATGTCCTGGCTTCTATGGATTTGAAATCTGCACTATAGTTTACCATTAATCTAAAACCTTGCATTTAATTACACTGAAGTTTCTCTGAGAAAAAAACACTGACAAAAACAAAAAAGGAGAGGTGCTGATGTGCTGATTGGAAAGTGTGATCACTTCTATCTGTAGGTCAGTGTTTGAATGTGTGACCTAATGAGCTCAGGTAATATTGTGAAGTGCATTGATTGGGAACTTAGAAGCTCGGAAGGGGCCACATGTTCAATTATGGTAACTGAAATAATGCTGAGATTGGCATTTTCCACTGAGGTATAAGTGACTGAAAATAGGAGCTCAGTATGCTAGTGCTTCTCTGCCAAAGCATACTGTAATCAGCACAATGCTAGCTGTGATAAGCAAGGGTTGCCTTTGCCCTAAGTGCTTATTTGTGGTGTATAGCTTTCAAATGCCCAACACCCCCATTTTCAGGTACAGCAACTCTGTTAATCACCCTGGAGTAGCAGAGTTTGCAGGGGGGTGGGAGCAGTCACAACGCATGTTACACTCTCATCACGCTGATCCTGCAATGTGTGTGTGGGCAGCTCGCTGCAGGACTGAAGCCGTGGTTGAAAATCTATTCCAATTACTGTTCAATGGCAGGGTTTTTAAACTCCAGTCTCCTCTTCTGCTTCCCCAATTTAGGGTGCAAATGTCACGTAGATGTAAATATTGGCTATGTGGACACATCTATAATTACCTGGGCCTGCAAACCTGTGGGTGCAATAAGAGACTGGATTGAGGCGAGTCTGGAAACCAGACCCCGGGCATCTGAAACAATCAGCCCACTGTTAGTGGTGTTGAATCATTTGCCCAGTCTGAGCTTGTTGGATCTTGAAGTAAAAATCACAGATTCAGACAGAAAATGGTATCCAGGGAGACTTCGACACAGTGGAATTCAAGACTACTGAGCAGCGCGAGGGCTGCCATCAGAATTGGGGCCAGCCATAGAAGAGAGTTTGACACTCATGAACAGAACTGGGGCTCCTGCCTTTATCTTTACAGTAACTGCTCCATACCCCAAGGACTGTGCACAGCTAGGGGGATAAGTTACAGGCAGAATGCTAGATTTTTCAAGTGGTTTGAATCCCAGTGATCCACATCAAGCTGCTCTTGTATAAATGTACTGCATGTGTACTGCTAATTTCAATTACCATCTGGATATGTGTGCTGAGAGATTTGCAAACCAGACATATAATTTCCTTTTAAATCTTAATTGAGTCTTGACCTACCTAGAAATCAGTGTGTTACACAAGGATGCCGTAAATACACTTGTACAGGAAGGAAACTCATCTAGTTTTATATCCGATCCCCCCAGAAAGCTCTGTCTTGTGTTGAGAAGTTATATCAGGAGGAGGAGGAAGAGTTGTGCACTGGGTGAACTCAGCTCAGCTTGTATAGCAGGGTATCCCCATAGATAGGAATTCAATAAGACCAGCTGGTGAGGAGGTAGATGCCAGACCGGTGATCGTGGCAGATTGGACACTTCACTTTTGAGGGTTCAGGGGAATAGCAATGCAGGTTGCTAATGGGATGACAGTGTTTCATACTCACTGGGATGATGCCTTGAGCATGTAGCTGACCTCTCGATCATCCGTGTTCTCCAGAAGCCTCAGGATGAAGACATTGGCCAAACTCTGTCCCTGATCTTCTAACTCCTCTACCCGGAGAAGCCCTCGCGGTGCTGAGTCAAACACCTGGTACTTGTCGCTGAGAGGTAAGCAAAGGGGTCAGGAAAGCTCATCAGTCAGTCTGGAAGCACTTTGGCTTTAACAATACCAAATTCTGAGAAAGGCATGATACAGAGAGCAAATTCCTGGTGGTGAGGGGAAGAGACACCACCTAGATAGAATGAGGATGGATGGTCTGAGGGCTAAAGCATAAGACTGAAAATCAAGAGACCTAGATTCTATTCCTGGCTCTGCCACAAACTTTGTATGACCGTGAGAAAGTCACCTAATCTGTGTCCCAGTTCCCATCTGTAAAATGTAAATAACGTTTTCTCCCAGGAGAGCTAAGATGAGAGGTTTATATCACTAACGTTTGTAAAATGCTTCTGTGTTCTTGGCTGGAAAATGCTATGCAAGTAAAGTAGTACTGGGCACCTGGCTGAAACTGACAAAGTGCATATTAGAAATGCTTTACTGGATAGACAGACTCCTTACCAGTTAAGTCTTCTTAATGTCAAACTTTTTGTTCTCTGGCATCTATTTTGTGTTATAATATTTCTCTTATCATAAACGCTATACTCCTAGCTGAGGCAGCTTTCTCTCCCTAGATGGTGTGTACTGTACTAGATACAGTCCCTTGCCTCACGCATTGGTTTACACACCTCCCTGCTGATCAGACACTCCCAGCCCATCAGACAGAACTTATTTTACTAGAGGTTTAACTTGCTTAAACTACGATATTCTTCAGTCTGGTAATCAGCCAGGAGTTACTTTATAGTAGCAAGCCAAACATCCTGGAGTCAGATCTTTAGCAGCTATAGCTCAGTGTAGCAGCACTCAAGTCAATGGAGCTATACTGATTTACATCAGCAGAGATCTGGCCTGAAATTTTAAGTAACACAAAGGTCAAACTGTGTATGGGCATGCAGCCCGTCAACATCCACAGTTCACAGAAGAGGCAGTGTAAATATTCAGACAAAGGAGAAATCTTCAGATAGCCCCCCTGGAAATGGTGCCTGTGATACAGGACTCTGTACTGTCATATTTCAGACATAATCTGGTCAATTACAGGACAAGAATCCATGCACAACTTAAGCAAGAGCTGGTTGGATGAACCGAGGGGGGAGGGGTGCTTATAACACACATCTAGGTGTTGGCCACATCCCAAACTCACCCAGGAATCTGCCTGCAGAGTACCAGCAGGTCATTGAAAAGGAACAAGTAGATTTCTCTAAAGAGTTTCTTGGTGCGGAGCGTGCGTGATGTCTTTGGGCCATTCATTTGCTGCAGTTCCCCTTGCTTTAACAGCCAACGGGAGTGAGAGATGATGGGCACAGACTACATGGAAGAGAGAGACAGCAAAGATCAGAAGAGCAGGATCTGCGAACAACCTATCTGGTTTTAAGATGCATCTTGATAAGTTTATGAACGGGATTACATGATGGGGTTGGCTACGATAGCAGGGCACCGGACTCAACAACTCAGGAGGTCCCTTTCATCCTATGAAACCCTTACAGGATAAGTAACACATGCTCCTTACTTCACTCTTACAACACTAGAAATGCAGATAAACCTCAGAGTAGTGAGGAGGTGGAACAAGACCTATGCCGTGAGGAGAGGTATACATGGCTCCAATAACAGGGGATGCAGCCTTAGTACTTAAAGTGCTGGCAACCAGGCAGTGTGGAGAGAGCGAGGAAACAGCTACCAGGGAATGCAGAGATAAAGTGGGGGGATGGGGAAGTGGGGACTGCAGGAGTCAGAGCGGGGAGGAGGCACAGGAACCAGGGGGCAGCAGTGTGGGATAAGAGCCTGAGGATTGAGCAGAGGGTGGGGGTGGGGGTGGATAGAAGCAGATGGGGAGGGGAGCAGGAACTGGGGTGGAATAGATAGGAGCAAAGGGTGATAGGCTATGGGCACGGGGGCAGTAGGGTCTAACCACTAGAGTATACTGCCCAACAGAACCTGGAATTAAGCCCATGAGTCCTGAGTCTCTACATTTCTTTGGAGTCGGCAAATAGCTGTGAAACCTACTGGCAAAGTATCTCCTTCTCCTACTCCCCCCAGTGACCAGTCCAAATAGAGAATAACTGCTGATGACTACTTCCAGCTATTCCATTAGCTCAAGCGATAAAGGTCTGTGCTGTGCATGTGAAAGTCCAGACTCTGCTGACGTCCCAACTTGGGGATCAACATGGTTTCATGGGATGGAATTTTTCTTTCGGTATTTTTTAAAAAAAAAGATTTAAGACATTACATCCAAAAAAATTACATTAAAAGACACTATGGTTACAAAGTGAAGCACTAAATAGTCAGGAAATGCCAGAATTAAGGTTGCCTGTGCAACTTCAATTCAGTCCCCTTATGTGTATGCATTATGATACGGTCTTTAATTACATGATCACATACTACTTTCTGCACAGGACCCCTGCCTCAGTCAGTGCACAGGATCGACCTGCCTTAGGGTTGTGTACCAAATGAGGCTGTTGTCTGCAGGACCCCTGCCTCATTTGTTGCAGAACTTGAAAAGTGTGTAGTGGATGAGGCAGGGGACAACAGGAAGAGAGTGGATGGTGTCATGGTTAAGACAGTGGAATGCTGCACTGGAGAACTGGATTCTATCCCTGCCTCTGCCACAGAGCCATTATGTGATACTGGGCAAGTCACAAACCATAATGTTCACAATTGGTCACTATGTTCCTCATATTCTGGGTGTCTGCAATACTCAGATGCTATCTGTTCTATCTCTGCAGGGGTTACAAGTCTGTACTTATACCTTGATCTTAAACTCTAATTTCTTCTGGATGCTAATCATCTGCTCTGTTCGGCTCATCTTCCTGACACCTTCGTTACATGCCTTCACCACCTGGGAAAAGAGAACAATCCAAAGGTCTGATTCCAAACTGAGGTCTACTCCATGCTGCAGTGCTCTCCTCCCATGGGTTACTTAGCAAGTGTTGGTGTACAACATGATCTTTCTATATAGGTGAGCACCATAGTGTAGGCATTATAATAATGGAGAAAAGGAGATATTAACTGGCAAACTCATTAGCAGGTTTTTTTTAATTTCAGAAAACTTTCATGTAGAACAACAACAATTTTTTTACATATTACAAAAGCGAAAAAGTAATATTAAAGACCCAATCCAGCTTTCATAGTGAAAGTTTTTCCATTGAGTTCAATGGGAGTTGGATTGGGCCTTAAAAGAATACCAATGACTATGATAAAATTCCTCCTCTATGTAGGTTTCCCTAAATGCATAATGCTGAGAAGTGCAGTTAACATAGAGCTTTGTAGAAATCTCTGTTCTTAGTTGAATGTCCATTGGTTGTGGGAATTAGACAACCAATGATGCATACATAGAAAAGGATCATCCTGTATGCAGATTCTATAGCAATACATGACACAAAGAGAATTTTTGGTGTAAACTGACTGTAACTGAACTAACTAATAAATACTGATCCAACTTTGGTGCTGTCAAGTTAGTTCTTTTCACCATCACTAAAAAATCACTTAAAGATTAACAAAAAGGATATAATATTAGGAAGGATTTATATTTAGGGGTCATATGGCACTTACCTAAACTATATTCAGATATTGACTCTATTGTTATGCCAATATTCTGGTCTCTAGCAGGTACAACAGCTATAATCAAACTATATTTCCCCAAATACTACAGTGCTACAAATCACCTCTCTTCTTCCTGTACATTCAATCCAGAAAGTATACATGCAGTACCATCTTCATATGGAGGAGAAGGAAGGCAAGTATTAATTTCAATAAGATTTGTCAGCCCTCTGTCAAGAAATAGCAGATGTTGGGGAGGGGGCTGAAACTCCCCACTGGAAGAGAAATTAGTAATGCAGAAGTCTGTATATTCTTAGAGCAACTTGTTTGTTTACATTAGGGATCTCAGCCCAAACACCAATACCCAGTTCACAGGGAGCAAGTCTACCTCAAGAACAGAGAGATTAAGGTGGAGAGCAAACTCTCTTGTAGCTTGTCACAGCCCCCCATAGAAAATTCATCAGAAAATCAACAACTAAAAACTTGCTCACATGCTAAGAAAAAGAACTTGTAAGATTATATATAACAACGCCACATGGTGAGCTCTGTCATAACAATATATACCTAATTATAGATAAATGGAGGGTTAGCCTTACACCCCAACTTAAAAATGTACAAGTGGGCCACCGTGCTACAGGGATCTATAAAACGGACCAAGTCCGACAGTCATTGACAGACAGGTACAGCAACGATCATCTGTTTTCATGATAAATTTAGCCATCCTTGTGGCCAACTACAGTAGCAGGCCTCCTCAGACTTCTGAGCAACAGCTTCAAGGTGTGATCTGAAACCTACTGGCCATCACACTCATTGGAAGGCAGCATGCAAAAATATAGCCATATGAAGTATTCCAAAACATCAGTCTCAGCTTTAGAGATCTTTGCCTTCGATTTATCTTGAATGATCTTTAGCCAGTCTGCTTCCTGGACCATTCCAGGCCAAATCTGAAAGCCTTATACAGGCTTTTCTTGTTGATTGTTACCAGGGCTGTCAAGCAATTAAAATTTTTTATCACAATTAATCGCATGATTAAAAAAAATAACTGAATGATTAATTGCACTGGTAAACAATAATAGAATACCATTTATTTAAATATTTTGGATGTTTTCTACATTTTCAAATATATTGATTTCAGTTACAACACAGAATACAAAGTGTACAGTGCTCACTTTATATTTATTTTTCATTACATTATTTGCTACTGT